TTTATGTCTGGTTCTAAAAGTGGTGTATGTTGTAGTAGAAAATATTGTTGTCTTTGTTTAGATACGATGATGATGCTAATGATGATCCAGACTATCAACAACCAGCCAGTATGTCCCAGAAAGACGAGGACATGGATGACGAAGACGATAAGGTAACTCTGAGTTTTCTCAATAGTGGAACCTGTTTAACAACAGAAGCAGAACACACATGGGCAACTGCGGCAGGTAGTTTATTGTATGGCAGTAGCTGTTGTGGTGATGATTGATTTTGTAGGGACAAGCTGGCCGATATCTGTAGTTTCACAACCCTGAAGTTGACTAAAAATGTAGGAGATCTTTTGCTCTCTTTCTTCAGAAAAGGAGGAGACTCAAACTCTTTCTCCTAAAATGGCAGGGGTGGTGGTTCACTTCTCTGTTATCCTGAGTTTGAAAACTTACACTGGTGGTGTTAACCATTTGGCATTGCACCAAGTAGTCTACCATTTCTAACTGAGGAAGGGCAAGTGTGCTGTATGCAGAAGTAGAAAATACTTTGTAGTTATTGTTGTAAATTCCATTCATGTTATCAGATGGCTAGATAATGGCAGGGACTCTGATATGCAATGTAAAGAACATCTGTAATTAGTAGCCAAACTCATTTCAGGACACTGTGTCTGCTGTATCTTCGCCTGGTACACCTCGGAAATCAGACAAGAGTTATGAAGGTAAGGGTTTACTCCTTCCTGCTTGTTGTCGAGTTGTTAAAGAAATAGACTGATGTTAACTGGTTAGCAAGTTTGACAAAAAAGAAAATCTACTCTGGAGTGTATTTATCTTGATCTTGAGAGAGTTGTTTCTTTTTCTTTGTAGCAGTGGGAGGGGAAGCAAGGGGCACATCAAGTCTAAGGTGGCCTACACCATCAGATTTGAACACAAGGCTCCGAAGAATCATTGCTGGGTATCAAAGAGTAGTGAAGAAACAGGAACTAAAGAAAGCAGCTGCAGAAAAGGTGAGTGTATAATTTCAAACCCTTTCTTTTCCTGTGAACAGTGATAATGCAAAATTGAATGGAGGAGACACACAGAACCTTGCAGTGTATTCTTTAGCAACTTCTGAAAGTAACTGCTACAAAAGGAAACTTAATTGCTTGACGTAAAGTCTTTGGTCATAATCTGTTTGGAAATTAAAGATACACCGTCATGTCATAGTATTGACTGTCTCTAATTGACACACAGGAAAGAGAAAGAAAGGAGAGGTTTGAAGAAGCAGTCAGACAGAAAGAACTGAAGAAAGCAGAAATGGCCCAAAAGTGAGTTTTTGCTTGTCCCCATTATTTACTGAAGTGCCTCTATTTGGACAACCTGAGTTGCGCTACAGAAATTGTATTTGCTTACCTTACATCCCTTTACTCTATTGTATCTCAGCTTGGCAAAATTACTTTTTGCTGGCATTGTCTGTAGGGCACGGAGTTCCTGGTGTTGTGGTCTGGCCTTGTCTCATTGGTTGGTGCTTTACATAGGGGAAACCTCATTGCACCTTTCCCCCTTGAACAGAATTGTCTGAGAAAAAAGTTACTATGACTATTGTGACAAGTGCATGCAAGGAGAGGAGGCAGACTGTGATAGATGGTTTTGTAGAACCCAGAGCTAACACTAATTTAACGATTGTTGCTGAATTTAACTGAAATGTTCTTCTCTAACAGGTGGTCCAAGCGTGAAGAAGTGGATTTCTACCGCACAGTCTCCACTTTTGGTGTGGAGTACAATAAGAAAGACGGTACCTACGACTGGTCACGATTCAGGTGAGTTTGGTAATAGCAACATAGTGTCAGGGTTGTCAAAAGTAGCTGGCTTGCTGGCAAGTATTACTGTCTACTTTATGATCTTAGCTGGTTACTCTGCTAGGCTGTTTGTCTGGTTCTTTAGAAGCAGATGTCAAAATTGCCCACCAACTCCAGTAATAAAGCTACCTTCTCCAAAAGTTTGTGACAACCCTGATTATCCTACCTTACGCATGTCCCTCTGTCACAGTCAGTGATTAAAATTTTTGCTGTTCACATCCTGAATGGAGTGATGACATCACCTTACCTACAATGAGACTGTGAGGAGACCCAAGATATGGTAGACTAAGGGACAGCAGTGCTGTAGATTTGTTAATAGTTAAGTTATCGTTGCCAGTGAAAGCTGCTAATTAAGATTAGTGGTTAATCTGAATGACAAGCTTTTGAAATGCAGGTTGTTGACAAAATTTTAGCTTCCAAGTGGTACCCTCATTCTCCTTCTATGTCGGGTTGCTTTTCATTCCTGTTTGCCATGCAGTGTGACAGGTTGAAAATTAAACCAAGAAATACAGTGTACCCTTACGCTGATTGATGACCTTTCCTGTCACTCAGAATATTATTGTATCCTGGCTTTGTTTCGGTTAGAAATAGGTGAGTCCCATGAACCATCTTTGTATAGAACTTCCATCCTTGTAAAGACATAAAGTGACCCTTCTTGAGTATTAGTTTAAAATGTTCATTGCTTTACTTGGTTTTTCCCTCAGACGCCTAGCACGACTGGACAAGAAGAATGACGAGAGATTGACTGCATACTATATTGACTTCATGGCCATGTGTAGGAGAGTTTGTGGCCAAGCCACTGAAGATGATGCAGGACGAGGTTTGTACATGTACTGCATCGTGTAATGGCTTGCTAAGAATGTGTTTGGTAAAAGCCCCTTTTTTTTGCCTGAAGGTGGAGCAGACTTGTAGTTTTAATTAATTTTTGGGTTTAGAGCCTGTGATTAAAATAAGTTGCTGTTCACATCCTGAAAAGTTTGATGAATGCTTCTGTTGTAAATGAGGCTGTGTAAGGTGTTAAAATATTAAAGCTTGTGACTGGCTAGTTAGAATGCTGAGGCTAACAAGATCCGAACTAAATTTAATTACAGGTACAAGTGTGGAAGCTATTTCAGAGGAACGAGCCAGTAGAAGTCTTTACAGGATACAGCTGTTATCAAAGATTCGAGAAGAGGTAGAGTACCGGTATTTTATATTGATAACATTGAACAAAACCACAAAGTTAAGAACAATAGTTTTGGCAGTACAGTTACCATTAACCTCTGAACACTTTATCCCAGTTCAGTTTCAAGAATTGATTAACTACATTAGGAACAATTTAACTGTCTTCAAAGCATTGTTACCCAATCAAATACACTCTCAAGTCTTGGCTAAAAATGTCCACAGGTTTTACCTCATGAGAAGTTGGATGAGCGCCTTCAACTGGCCCAGCCATCTCCCAGCTTTCCTGACTGGTGGCAGTGTGGGAAGCACGACAAGGACTTGCTTATTGGTGTGACCAAGTAAGCAAAATTAACAATGATTTGTTTTCTTGACTTAAGCTTACATGTATTGTCACTGCTGCTTTTCCAAGTAGGTATTTTTCTAAAACAGTTCAGGAAGTAAGGTTGCTGGGCAACATGTGAACTTTTGATAATTTTGTTTTTGCTTATCATAAGTCTAGGGCCGAGGGCACCTGATCTGTAGTTTTTGTAGCATAAAGCAACTGTAATGTCTCCTCTATTTTTAAGGGATGCTAGTCAACCCCAGGTTGCCCCTAACTTATACAGCCCCATTTGTACAACTTACATGTAGGTAGTGAAAGGTACTGCGAGAGCATAGGATACTACTGCTTTGGCTTGTGCCCTTCAGCTTTTGATTAGCCTTGTCTTGATTCTCTGGCTCAGCCTCTCAAAATTGCTGTTAAAGCACCATTCAGTAAAAAGACCTGCATTTCTGCTGTTGTTGTTTGTTGAACTTAAGGATGCCTGTTGCAGTAGACAAGTTTGTTCAATGATCAGTGTACTGTTCTCCAGCTGATACTAATTTTGATTATTCTTGTAGACATGGCATCAGCAGAACAGATTTCAATCTTCTTAGTGATCCTGAGCTTTCATTTCTGGAAGTTATATCAAAGATGCCATCAAATCCTGGAAGCACACTCATGAATAAAGGTATAGAAAGTGGAAATATGTGATTTAGTTCCCTCTATTTGCTGCTGCTATGAGACTGGAATCAAACACTGGTTAAGTGTCTAGGTTAATGGCTATGTACGTGTGTTTTGCAGTATCTTGGTTCGTTTCTCAACCATCCTCGCAAAGAATGAAATTTTCTGATAGTGTTCATTGTGGTGACAGATATTCTTTGTTTCTGTAGAACTGGACTCAACCCTTAGAATATTGTTATGCATGTAAAAGATAAAATTGCTACACTTCTTAACTATAGTTAAGCAATTGTAATTGCATTGCTTTTTCAGCTCTTGGCGACGAAAAGATGTCCTCTCCTGCGGGAAGTATCAAGACAGAATCATCAGTTCCATTTGATGGCTTCTCCCCTCTGAACAATGATCATGAAGATAGACAAGGAGAAGAAGCCATCAAAAGTTTTTCTCAGCAACTACCCAACATGGATAAGGTGCCAGAAGTCGATGGCCCAGCTTCACCATCACTAGGTGAACGGACAACAACAGTACCATCCGCCACACCAGTGGCACCAACCTTGACATCAGTGAAAACAGAGGTACAAACTCCATTGAGTGAGACATACAGATCTGGATCTCCAGGTGCTGATATGGTCCCTCCCGCTCAGGATCAGAGTATTGTTAAAGAAGACACTGGTCTAGGTGCAGCAGGAGCAGCTGCGGACCCCAAGACTGAGGATATGGAAGATACCAGTAGGCACAGCACTCCCATTCCTGCTCACCTCAATCCAGCGATGAACCAAGATGAGGACTCGCAACTGAGCTTCAACCAGGAGAGCCAGTCAAGTGAGGCTTCCATTTTCTCTGTGAGGTGGCCCAAGGTATGTAGTGCTCTTAGAAATTAAATAAAAAATGCAACCGATGTCAGTTTGAGAGAGTACACTTGGTCCCTTTTTAATTCACGGCGCTCTGAGGAAGGGCTCGCACTTCAGAGCTTGCTGTTGTGGTTAATTTACTGTTTTGAGCTTCAAGTTTATAAAAGCTACATTTAAGTATTTCGCTTGCCTACCAGTGCAGCCCAACAGTGTCTTGAGAAACCAGTGACTAATAACTTTGTCTATAATGTTAGTTTGGAGGGGTTAACAGTGTGTGAATATGCTAAGATCGATGTTATTTTTTTGTTTATTCAAGTGGTTTTGTTTATTCAAGGACAACTGGCTTTTTTGACAACCCTGTCACTATAAAGAGAAATTAGCTGTTAGGTTGAATTTTTTCTTGGATAGTAGGGGCTTGAATTTATCCATAATGCCGATGGTACTAGGAGAAGCTAAACTTCAGAACCGTGGTAACCAAGGGACTGATCATTCTCCACTAAATAATAAACACTTCATTGTCTTTTTACAGGACAAAGTTGTCATCCAACGTTTGGATCAACTCTGTGAGTGTGTATTGAAGGGAGAATGGCCAATTGTAAGCAAGGTGGCAGATGCCTTACTTCAGAATCAGCTGGCAGCCAATTCGCCATTATCTGGAGGCTATCCAGGTCTTGGAGATGTTGATATGGGTTCATTACCACCTGGCTTTGCTGTTGGCGAAGATGGACAACCTGAGGATCCGTCCAAGGCCTTTAAACTCAAAAGGGTAAGTTTTTATTTGTATCAAGAACCTCCTTGGACAGTTAGGCCTTTGTTACAGTTTCACTGTACGGATGTAACAAGTTGATGGTTTTACTGTTGCATTTAGGTTTTTATAACTATCGGAAGAATACGTGAACTGCAACTGCTCTATATCTTGTCCAGTGTATAATTTACCTATGGAAACAGACTGAAAATACGTTCAATGCTGTACACTGTATGGGGTTTAAGACCATTTCGTTACTAGTAATGGCAGGTGTATCATAAATTGTCTCGAAAAATAACCAGAATGCTGTACGGGATATAGCTATTTATCAAATAACTGAGATACTACGCACGCTCTGATTGGTCAATAGAGTCCCTAAACCTATGTTCTATTGTACCGGTAAACCACGGTTCCCGATCTGTGGCAGCTCTAGGCGCTCTAGGCGGAAACTGAGAACTCGGAACTCTAGCGATAACAAATGTAATAAACAGTTTTGCCTTTCACTGGCTGAGATATCAATAACACGACCATCTTTTCATTCAACATATACATAGAAATTTTCAAGGAAAAACAGGACCAGACGTTGGTCGTCATATGAAGCTTTATCATTTTTTCTACGGAAAAACTTTTACGCCGACTCCGGTTACGCTTGAGATTGAGTTTAAGGACGTTTTAAACGCTTATTTCGGTGCTTTCCACGGTCTGTGGAGGACGAAGTCAGCTGGGCTTGACCGATCAATTTGGGTTGTCAAAAAAGCAGGGAAAAGATTTCTTTCTATCAGAAATTTTGAGTTTAAACTCAGTGCATGCATGCGTAACACGATAAATGAATTTGATTTCCATAAGCTTTGCTTTCAAGCAATAGTTTTCATTTAGCAAAATACAGAGAGAAACACGGACTTCATTTGGAAGCAACGTTTCTGTTACTAACCTTTATTCCATTCGCAAAACTTTTGAAAGTTACCGTTAAACACTGCGTTGAATCACTTCGCCAAGCCGACATGAAGTTTGGACTACTTGCACACTTTTCGTACAGCCTTTTACTCTCGTGATGACCGATTCCACCTAGGAATCCCTGCATTTCCCCGTCAGAATGCTTTTTCGTCGCTTTTCTCGGCCGATTTCGTGTCCGGGGCGGAGTCTGTGCTTTCATTCTTTCAGTCGCTGTGATTGGTTTGTCATCTCATGAATTTGATGAGAACAAGCAACTTGATCGCGAAAGTGCATTAAATTTTCCTCTCATTGATAGACTTTTTCTACAGTTACTTCATAAAAGCGATAGATCACTCTTTCTATGGGTTTACTGGCGTAATAAACCACTTGGGATGTTGGTAGAACACGAGAAAAGCTTGTAAATCACTTGCTGCTTGTGATTTACAAGCTTTTCTCGTGTTCTCCCAACATCCCAAGTGGTTTATTTCGCCAGTAAACCTATAGAAAGAGTGGTCTATTGCTTAAATAGACTATTGGTTTTTCTCTTTCGAGAACATTCTGACTACACTCCTCGACAACCTGCGAGGATAAAGATGTTAGTTTTTGTTCATCCTATTGGTGAGGTAACCTTCATGACCAATAAAATTACTTCATCCCTTGACTTACTTATGCTGTTTTTTTTGTTTTTTGTTTTTTTTTTTTCAGCTTGATGGTTTAAAGCTTACTTTCAAGAAGAACAGACGGAAGAGAAAGAAAGATGCAGGTACGTGCCGGAAAAGAACATTTCGTCGTTTTACCCGAGGGGTGATAAAATTTTCGCCATTTCTTCAACATAGCTACTTGTACAATCTAGTAAGGGATAACTACCAAGACCATTATTGAACCAACATACATGTAGCTGTTATATTACCACTTACATATACGTGACGCATCCAGGAACTAAACTATTTCTTTTGGTTTTTGCTACAGAGATGGGTGAAGGTCTTGCAGAAGATGGAGGGTCAGTTCACAAAGAACCAGGTAAGAATTGACTTAAAGAATTTAGAGGGAGTTAAGAAGTACTCTCCTTGTTCTGTACTCGACATGACGTAAGCTTGCACATTGGTTTGGAAATCTTTTATTTCATTTGTATTAATTATATGTGGATTTTCGTAGGTCACCGAAAAATGCTTGCCCGAGTTGATGGAGAATGGAATGAAGCCATGATGAACATGGAAGTACCAGGTCATGACTTCAGATGGGATCCTGCCATGGGCATGAAACCTCCGAGGAAGAAGAGAGTGTCGAAAAAAGAAAAAGGCGAAAAGCCCGAAAAGCCACCTTCTGGGAAGAAGCGAGGGAGGAAACCTAAAACCGATAAGCTCGGATCTGCGGGCAGATTGGCTGACACTGGTGGTGCAGTGGTTCCATCTGATGGGGCTGCCCTGGAATGGACTGGCTTTTCTCTTCCAAATAGAATGGAGGGAGGTGTGAATCAGGTGCCTGTGATAGAAGAAGTGTCTGCTGGTCATGCGAGAGCTGTCCTTGCAAAGTCACCCCATGAAAGTGGAACAAATCCTGCTTTTCCAGCTTTTTCAGATGAAGTAGGTTTATCTGTGTTAAGGTTGTGTGAAGTCTTGATTTTCACCTCGTCAATAAAGACACACGCAGCTCTTTCAACAAGTGCTTAATTTTTGTTTAATACTAATTTCTACTTGTGTCTGCCATTCGTTGTTAACTCAAATGATGGTTCAATCTGCTTGTTGATGTGACGTTGATTGCGAGCTAAGTCTTCCTTTTTATTCTGTGAAAAATCACTGCTTCCCTTGCAGCTTGGCGTGTTGCAGTAAGTTGCTAATTTTTGTACACAAAATAAAAAGTTTTAGGCTGAGAAATCCACAAACCTGTATGTTCGCTTGTAATTTTCAAGAGCTTTAACCAGTTCTACTAAGAACTTCTTTTTTCGTGTTTAGTTCAAGAATTCAAGAATGGAAGGGGAGTCACGTGGCACAAGTGGACAAGAGGAACATGTTGCCGTTATTGATAGAGAAACGGGAAGAAAGGTTTGTATATTTCTGTGTTTTTCTTGTTTTTCTCCGTGACCCTATCAGTCCTCAAGCGTGGGTTATTCTCATTAGAGTCGGACAAAAGACACTCTCATGATGATGAATTGTTTTTCCTTTTAGTTGGTAGGAAATGTAGCACCAACGCTTTCTAATCTTGTGGACTGGCTCCAGCAAAACAGCAGTTATGATGTCGCTGAAGAGTCTACAGCATTTGTCCGTAGCAAGGTATGTTAACTGTAGGTTCGGGAAAACGTGTAATAACATTTGGAGCTCAGTCACGGTATTTTGGCCACCAACAAAATAACCTTTAATTGAAAAAAAAAATGGAAATAGTGGTTTACTAAGATTGAAAAACACCGAAGGGACAATAACACAACGTAAAGGAACAAACATGGTTAGGGGTGGAGAAGATTCACGCGGATTACAAACGACGAATTTGAGAAAAAAAAAAGTAGGCTAAACTTTTCAAGATGCGTAAACCGTAACGTGGCCATGCGATAGTTCAAGCTTCAAGGGACACTTTCCTTGGAGAGGTGTAATGTTCCTCTATAAATTATTTAAAAAAATAACACAGTCGTAGACTTGTACACAGAAACACGGCAAAGCAGACAAGTAACTTCAACCTCCGTGAAGTGAAAGTGAATCGATGTGGTAAACTGGACCCGTTTGACGGTATTGCATTGTACTCATTGTTCATTTCAGGGTATTTTACCCCCTTCCCTGGTGAGCAGACTGTCTCACGGTGCAAAACAGTCGAATCCTACCACGCCCACAGCTGCTGGACCACAAACTTCACACCATTTATACGGATCGTACAATGAGATGAATTATGGTACTGCGGTGTCTAAGTCTCAGTTTGATTCATCATCACTCTCGACGTCATTGACATCAACCGCTACCTCCAGCACTCACAGTGAACCCACCCGGGCTTCGTTCTCATATGACTCGTCCCAGTTTGGGAATTTTCCGCATGCCATGCCTTTTGGCCCATTTGGTCACATGCCTTATTACGCGTCGTATGGAATGGGCATGCCAGCAAATTCCCAGGGAACCACTTCGTTCGGCGAGAATGCTTCGTCAAAACCGGCACAATCACCAGTCAGCCCTAACCCGTCCGCTTCACAGGTCATGTTCAATAACTCTTATTCGTCACTGTATGCGGGACAGCAGCCTGAGAATGGACTGCAGGGTTACGCACCTGCTATGGCATCAAATGCTTTTTCGTTTCCACTTTTGAACAATGGTAATCTTGCGTCGTCGCCCCTGTCGTCTAAAGGCGATTTCTTACCAGACAGCGCAAGCCATGGTTCTTCGAGTATTGGGAGTGATATTTCATCGCAAGGCAGTCCAGACAATGATTGCTGATGGCAAGATACTTGAGTAGCTCTTGCCAGCAGTTTAACATATTCAAAGGCTAAGCCAATGGTTAGATAATAGAGATTGAAAGCCTAACCTTAATATTGACTTAAGCTATTTCTTAAATTTGCTTAAAATACTAGCGGTAGTAAAGGGGAATGCATTTATATCTTTAGTAAAGTGTCGGTATATGTAGTCACTAGTGGACGATAGACAAAGCTCTCTTGCATAAATTCAGCTAAACATTTGTTTTGTTTTTAAGCATGGGCTGGTTTTGGAGCTTTTTACACTCGAATATTGTACGTGACTATCGTTTGCTGTCAAATAACTGCACTAAAAACCAAGAAATTTGCGTTTATGGCCAACTCGATAGAGAGAAGCCGTCGAGAATTGTTGAATTCTGAATCCAAAACTGAAACGGCTTCTCTTTTTTTTTTCGGAGATCCTTCCTGATGCAATATTTGCAGAAATTATTATCTACCTTCAGTGCATTCGCTTTTCTTTGCTTGTTTGTTTGTTTGTTTGTTTGTTTGTTTGTTTTTTGTTTTGGATTCTTGGTCAAGAGAGGGCTTTCTAATCCATATACTTATTCTTATATACATATGCATGATTTATATAAATATATAATATACAAACTTGCTACGCCTTTGGGCATTGTACATTGAATCGACTTAGACAATAATTTTTATAATGACAATCCTTTGTTCTATAAAACCGGACATCAGTTTATTGGTCTCCTCGTCTACAGTGAAAGAAAAAAATAATCGAAGACTCGAAGATTCTGCCATTGGTGCAAAAATTAATATATTGCAGCAGACCTGCTATTTATTTTGTGATCAGAATATTTGCACAAACTTCTAGACAACGTTTTGTACCTTTTTATCGACACGTCTGCTCCTGGTAAACATTCTGAAACAATCAATTCAATTCAATCAAGCTATCATTGAGGACAACAGAAACTTATTTATTATTATGAATCTCCTCGAAGCTGCATCAACCGTACTTATAATGTCTTACAAATGCAGTAAATATCAGGTTAACCTTTTTGTCGCTGGGAAAATGCACAGTCGTTCGTTTTCTTTTCGTTTTTTTTCTTTTTCTTGGGGTGCTCTCAGTGTTAATTACTTACAGTTATACATTAGTGGGTGTGTGCCTCCAATATATCAGGCTTTTTTTGTTTGCACCCCTTGCCGTCTTCTCTAGGAACAGGGTTTCATTATGTTAATTATACTTTGTATATATGACTCCTGGGAGCTATTGATTTTTAGGCAGCTTCCTTCACGCTTCCCCAACTAATAAGCCAACGTTTGAGGACGAAACTCTTTTTACAGAGGTGTCATTGTGTATCGCTTGGTTAATCTCGAGGCGGTTTCAGTGTGGAGTGTAGAATCGTTTCTGCTAGGAGATTGATTCAAGTGACAGCTTACAAATGGGGGAAATGTGTAAGAGGCGTAGATTTACAAACTTCTTGTCTTCGTATTGTGGCCTGTTACTAGTGTAGAAGGAGTTAGATCTTAGGGGGAATGTTTCTGGAGTCAGTACATTGTAGGCCACTTTTCGCTATGACTGTGTATTTATTCTTGTGATATGAAATGAATCTCGAATTGACTGAGTTAATTTTGATATAAACTTGTCTGTATTTAATGGACTGTATTTATTAATTTGAATGAAAATTTTTACAAATATTTTTAATAAATCTCTGCTGCTCTGGTGTCTCTTAACGAGTCTTGGCTGAAGTCTTGTTTTCTTTTGTTTGTTTGTTTGTTTGGTGTTCTCGTTTTGAAGATCTTCACAACGATCACATTATAGGCTATGTTCGAGTAGCCATTTGCCTCTCTTTCAAAGCGAGTCCTCGGGCAAAACTTGTTACACGAAAATAAGTTCGATCTGCTTGAGAACGAACGTGCTGTTATAATGGTTTGGTTCGCGGACTCGTTTTCGCGCAGACAAATGTACTACCGGACCTATTACTAAATGTCTTCCACATCGAATACTACCTAGACCTTCCAGAATGACCGTGGAAGGGAAATGGGTACGACTGCAAGTTCCTACAGAAATTCGTTTTTCGTATGGAAGAATCAGAGTATTCTGTTTTAGTTCAAGCAATCGAAGGCAAAATCAACTGTTTTCAACGCATATTCCAACCCATGGTAAACATGTCGCCCACAATGGCTACGAGGCGAGCCGTTTTAGATTGGTTTTAGATTTGATTTTATTTGATTGGTTTCACAAAAGCCATAGTTCCAAAGACATCAAATTTTGAAGCGGATTCAAACCTTGCATACGTTATTCCCTCACATCTTTGGAACGAACCGGAGTAGACTGTAAATTCAGAGAAAATTTATGGGTTTCGTTGATGCACGTGATGAATTTGATCACCCTAAAAATGTATCCCGATCGAGATCGTACCAAAGGAGACCAAAGGAGAGTTCATTGATTTTGTGAGGTCGGGCTGGAGGTTCGAACTCTAGTCTGAATTTCGAAACGGCATTTCGAGAGAGATCGAGAGACGCGATTTCTGTTTTACCTCTATGACCAAAAAATTGAGATATTATTTCTCCCTTACCTGAATACCATGCCAATAAATTAAAGCTGTACCTGAAGTTATTAAATTGTCATCGAAACCTTACTTCTAGTCAAACTAACCGGAGTGTTTATCGGGGCATTGCTAATTAAGCTAACCAGGGCTTGAAGAAATTCAACACTTAAATTCGAAGCTCGAAACTTCATCCCGTGCCCATAAGATAGGCAGCCGGTAGACCCCCCTAGAAGAACGCACCCCATCGACCCAAGGTGTGCCGAAAATTGCCCTGGTTTTGCTTTTATTAATTATGTCAATCAATCAATCAATCAATCAATCAACCAAGTCGAGTTGTCAGGAGGTGTCACAGGCAGGAGACACCTTTTTTTTGTACAACTTGTCTTATCTCGAAACGACGCAACAGAAGCACGAAACATTGCCTTTGACATCAGCGCCTTTACGGTGCGACTACTCCAACCAAGCCCACCCGACAAAATTTTCTACCAATTTAATGGATAAAAATCGTGGAGGACCGTGGAGGTTAAGAACAAATTATCCATGTAATCAAGCTGCACATTACAAGATTTTAGAAAGTGCCCTAAGAAAATACGCGCGTTGATTGGTTAAAAATCGTGTTTCTATTAAACAATTAGATTCTGAGCTCGAGGTTTCTATCGCGAGATTCTATTACGCATGGAAATCGAGAGTGAATAATCTAATTTTTTTAGTGTAAATCTACCAGTCGATCAGAACTTTATCTAAATCCTCTCGACAGACACTTCGAAAACGCCAAGAAGCGGCCGTCAGTTTGTTAACAAGGGCACACTGCTACGCTACTCACTATATCTATCACACAATAGATAGTGAGTAGCGTAGCCAATCAGAGAACGGCATTCGTGATAGAACGCTGGTAGATTTATATTAAGATAGAAACACGGTACATGTTTTCTATTTCTTAAACAAAGGCAACAGATTTGTGGTCATTTTGAATAATTTGGTGAAAAAGGGGCGGAAGTAAATTTAAGTATAAATTAAATTAATTAATAAGTGAGAGAACTAATAGTAACTTGACAAATCTCACGGGGAAAAGTACTTACTAATGATACAAGTAAAATTGAGGAAGAATACTGGATTTCATACATATACACGGAGATTTATTCACTGGAATCTGAAGTTGCTCTGAGAGAGCCTAAGACGAACGATGCTACGTGGCCATGCCATGTGACGTCACGCGCATGGGCATTCGCTCTCTCATTAATAAGTTAGGAATGACATCATAAACAGTGGAAGAGAAAGAAAGAAAACTCGAGATTCAATCGTTAAAATGTCTTACGCATATCTTTTTAAGTACATTATTATAGGAGATACAGGTCAGTAAGATATTAGGGTAGATATTGATTCGTTTTCCTTCCGTCCTTTTTGTAGAAATACGGGTTAAATTCTGAGCCCATTTGAAAGATCAAAAATGGACGCCATTGATCGTATTGTGGTTTTCAAGATCATTTGTTGTCAATGTTTGACTGCTTTGGTCGTTTTTCGTTGATCTAGGAGTTGGAAAATCATGTCTTTTACTGCAGTTTACAGACAAACGTTTCCAACCTGTCCACGACCTCACGATAGGTAAGTTTGCGTAGAAAAATGGCGCTATGTCTGAAAGCAGCAACCGGCATCCAATTTGAGTTTATTGACCACGAGAGATGAATCTTCACGTAAACTTCCACATTCTCCTTTGCGCGTTTGACTGCGTGTTAGTAATTTAAATTATTTCTTTATTTCGTTCAGGTGTTGAATTTGGAGCTAGAATGATTACTATCGACGGCAAACAAATAAAACTGCAGATTTGGGATACGGTAAGATTTAAAATTAAAAAGTCTTTTCACCATTATTGAATGGACAACATGTAAACTTACAAAGAAAATAAATTTTGAAAGAAGCTGATCGAGGTATTGAGAAAGGAAGACATGTTCTTGCGGGATTTTCTTTGTGTGAAACGTTTGATTTCGCTGTGCTATATCTGGGTTCAATCTTGGCTTTTGATTGAAAGCCACATCAAATTCACTTATTCAACGACCGAAAAAAACGCGAGTTGGTATGAGGTATATATTTCACAAACTCTTTCTGTTTCTGTTTGGCAAGTAATCGTTTGACATCGTTCTCGTGCTCTTCCTGTCAATTTGTATTAAGACAACGTAGATGTCATTTTTTTCCCCCTTCGTTTTTCCAGTTCATTAAATTGTTTTTTCCCACCGGTCATTCTCTTAATTCAATGATGGAAAACACTTGTATCCCCAGCAGGCCAATTTCCTTTCAGTTTTTCTTCTTTAGAGAATTGGGAAAGAGCATGAGATTTAATTGTATCAGATTTCTATTTATTTTCATTTTAAAAGTAAGTTATTTTCTCTTTTAGTAGAATTTATTTATACTCTAAATTTCAACATGTGCAACCTATCTTGGTTCTCTGATGAATTTATCAAAGTGTTTGGGTCTGGAGATTATGAATTTCTTTTAACTGTTGGTTATGTTTATACAATTAGTCACTGCATCTTTATTTCCTGAATCATTCATTGTTTTCTAGGAACAAAAGAAGATTATATCTCGGAATATTTACACCTGTACCTATTCAGGTCAAAATGAATTTAAACTAGTTTTATTTCAGTTTTCCTTTCTCCAGATTTATTACTGTATTCCTTAAGCAAAGAAAGATACAAATTAAACTAGCTTGAAATCATTTTGACCTGAAATTCAGCTACATGTTTTCAGCAATCTTCATCTAGCAATGGTCTCTTTCAAAATAAGAGAAACACGACTGTGTAAGTTTGGACTGCAGATATGCAAGGAGAATCAAGCAAACATTTTGCCATGTATTTATCTCTAAATTTACTGGCTTGATTGGGTTTGGTAGATAAATGCATGGAAAAAGTAAAACTACAGTGTATCATTCCTTCAATCCCTGAACATCACCAGTCCTTAGCATTTACAGTTGAAAATCTTTGGAATGATATCTTGAATTTACAAACTGCAGATCTTTCAGGAATGTCCCAGCCTATTTCTCCCATTTTCAAAATGGGAAGGTTCATCATGTGTAAAGGACTACCGTATTATATTCTTACTCTTTTTGTATGCATGGACTTAATTTTACAAAAACAGGATAGTCAATTTTAATGAAAGTGAATTTCCAATTTGAAAAAGAAACTCTTAGAGAAAATAAGTCCTGTTGAAAGGAGCTAAATTGTTGTGAACAATTTTGAGAATTGTTCTTTGCGTTATCTAAAGATTTTAAAGCTGTAATTTTACACAGATGTTGGACAAAATTTAAATCAGGGTGACCTCTTCTGCAACAGGCAAAACCTTATAGTCTACTAGTCAGCATTTACAATACGTCTTCCCTCCATTGTGCATGTATGATTCGGAGACAGAGAGAGTCAACAGGAATAATCAAGTACACCGACATATTAAAGGCTAAAAAGGGTTTTGCAGGATACTTTTGGTTGCTGTTTAATTTTGCATTTCTTGTTTTACAGTTACAAGATAGGGGTGTAACGATTCATATTCCTTGGGATTCGATTCAATTTTGATTATTGCCTTTCAATTTCGATTCTTTCAATTCAGTTATGTAAAATATTAATGTTTTTTTTTTAATTCTTTCAATATGATACACAATGTTAACAACATACAACCCTAAATCTTAAATTTGAGGATGCATTGAGCATGTTGCATATGGTTTGCCTTATTTGGAAATTCTCAAGGGGTGGTAGAAGGGCAACATTTTAACCAAGCAACACAAAATGGCGCAGGAACTGCAAACGTCTTTACTCGTCAATCAAAAAAAGCATATTTTAGAGAGTTCTGGATTCTGATTTAACAATATAATAACTCACTGAGGAACCCTGGGAAAGGTATGCAAAAAATCGAACCAAAATCGAAACGTGGAATCAAAGAATCGTGAATCGAACCGAACGGTCATAATCGCGGTTAATTGAGAATTTGATTAATTGTTACATCACTATTACAAGAATAAGTTGTAGTAAGTTAGTTTTCTTTAGCAAGATATCCTTTGAATGGACATCACAATTTTGTATTAATAGGCTGGTCAAGAGTCTTTCCGTTCCATCACACGTTCATATTACCGTGGAGCTGCAGGCGCTTTGTTAGTTTATGACATCACAAGGTGAGTAGTATTTTAAGTACGCATCATACAACTCCATGTATCACCTTCAATTCCCAAACTGTCTGGAATTTGGAATTGATCAGCAGGGGTTTCAATAAGGTTTTCAACACTAGGGCATCAGGATATGACATCTGGGTAGAAAATTGGGAAGTCACATAAAAATAGCATGAGACAGCACCAGTGCTATATAAAATATTGTTAAAGCAGCTGGGAAAGCTCTGTTCACAGCCAGCCAGTTTGCCTGGTGTTTGGCTCTCAGTGAAACTCCTGGACCATACAGTGTTTGTGACTAAACTTGACTCCTTTAAGCAACCAGTAATCTGACACAACCTTATTGTTTGTCAGGTCTAAGAATCACTCCTGGGAAATTCATGAGATTGACATGTGATCTCTGTAAAATGAAAACAATTTTTCAGCTGTTTTAATACAATAAATTTTGATGTTCAAACAAGACTTGCTATTGTGTATGGTTGGAAAAATATCAATGTATGAATGATTAATGTATTGATGTTATTTTGGCAGACTGTTGTCATCTGTCAAAAGAGCTTTTTATACACTAATGGAACAGCAAACAATAGTTTTTCAAACAGAAAGGCTAAAACCTTTCACACACATCTTTTAAAAAATGATTTCAAAACCAAATATTTTGAGCAATCAAGTCATCGTCAGGGAATATCAAGATAATGCATATCGGCCACTTTTAAGTTGAAAATTTTCAGTGTTAAATTTTATATTACCTGTAAAAGACAAATTCTGGATTTAACTCATTAACATTTGCTATAATCAAAACCATGCCCTGTTTTGAAAGCGAAAAAAAGAAAAACAATTTGGAGACTTCTCAGCCAAAGCATTGTATTGTTATTGCAGGAGAGATACATTCAATCATCTGACAACATGGCTTGAAGACGCTCGGCAACATTCTAGTTCTAACATGGTCATCATGCTGATTGGAAACAAGAGGTAAGGACTGAACCTGCAGTGGAGTGTGATCAAAATAAATCATTGTATGGTGCTATTGGATAGCAATAGAAATAGCGCTATATAAATAAATTATTAGTATTAAAATCTTGACCATATGACCATCAGGATCAGAGCTTGTGGGAAAAATAATCTTGGCAATTTTGTGGTTTAAAAATCTGTAACTTTTAGGAAAAGTATCTTGTTACTCTTTTCAACCTTTTTCTCGCATTCCCTCCCTGGGGAAAAAAAGAGACCCTGAGAATGACTTTGTACTCTTTTCTTTTTCTTCAAAGAACACTTTGCACATCAGATCCATTTATGTATTGCACAGCATGCAGTTAGCAGAAAATAGAAAAATAAGTCTTTTCTTTCATTAGGGGGACTTTCCACACAACCAAAAATTCCTGTTTGCACACAGGCTGCCCAGACGTTGAATACAATTAATATGTGACATTATGCTGTTGGCGATTGCTTTACAATTTTAGCTGTTTAAGACAATGTATGAGAATGCTTCGAAAATTACTCTAAATGCTATGTGTAGAAAATAATTTGAATAAAATGGCTTACCTTATGTTTGCATTGCGTTATTTTGATGTCTCTGGGTTCCTGGAAGTGGTTTAGAGCCATTTTGGTGAGTTTTACTTTCTGGCGGTTTGCTTCCCCTAAAGAGAAATGAAAGGCGGGTGACCCACTGACCCTATGGCCCGCACTCAAAGCTCTGTAAATTCCACAAAAATGGTGTAATCTGATCAAAATTACCTCATGGCAGCTGTTGATAACTCTTCTTCCCATTCGCTTTCTCCCAATGTTTCAAAGTTTATCTTAACCACCCGAGAATTGCTGGTTTACCAGCTCTTGCTTTCCATTTCAGCTCTGTCTCCATCCGTAACCAATTATCTTAGTCACAGGATTTGAATTTTGTGACAAAGTCACCACCAACTGAAGCGGTTGGAGGCGACTTTGTCATGATGGCCCGGTCACTAAGCTAGAAATTCAAACCCTATGGCAGATTGAGATGGAGCAGAAATGGAAAGCAAGAGCTGGAAAACCAGTGATTCTCAGGTGGTTCAGATAAACTTTGGAACCTTGGGAGAAAGCGAACGGGGAGAAGAGTTATCGACGGCTGCCATGAGGCAATTTTGAAAAGATTAGACCATTTTTGTGGAATTTATGGAGCTTTGAGTGTGGGCAGTCTAGCCAGTGGGTTGCCCCCCTTTTCATTTCTTTTTGGGGGAAGCAAACCGCCAAAAAGTAAAACTCACCTAAATGGCTCTAAACTACCTCCAGGAACCCAGAGACATCAAAATAACGCAATGCAAACATAAGGTAAGTCATTTTAGTCAAATTATTTTCATTCATTGTTTCATTGATGGACATGTACCGTAAAATGTCGCATTTACACCATTTGCTTTCAACCTTTCAATTTTCGATGAGCTGATTATCAAAATACTAAATAGTTAAATTTTTATTTAAATATAATTAATAATTAATTTATAATTATAGTCCAGTGTTTTAGCTGTACCAGTTACTGGCAGATTTTGTTAGTTACTTGGTCACTTGTGTTAATAGGATTAATGTCAACATATGATGTACTTTACAGGTTTTGTTAGTATAAAGGTTTGCTGCTACTGGCTGTTTGATGATGCTTTTGCGCTATAAAGTTAATGACTTTCTTCTTCATCCATAGTGATCTTGAAGCTCGTCGCGATGTAAAGAAAGAAGAGGTAAACTTTACGTGAAGTTTGTACTCCTAAAGAATAGCTATTGGGGCAAGAGTTTTCATTGATTGTTGAGAAAATTTATTTCTCAATTGGTTTCTTAAAATTAGCAAACCTTTGTTGTTGTTTCAAAAGACTCTGAAAAGGCATTTATGTCTTATTGATTTTTATTGGAGACTTACTAAAATGGGATTTAAGTTAATTTTACTGTAACTATTTATTAATCTTGAGTAGATTTTATTTTGTTTTGAGTCTATTCAGCTGAAGCACTTGCTCATTATCTTTGAATGGAACAGCCTTAGTCTGCTGAACTTGGACATGTGAATCATATAACAATATGGAATCTACTTGAATGAACGCTTAATAGAATGTTTCTGATAACCAAGTCTTTGGCACTCTTATGTCTGTTCACCTGACTCCTACCCACAGTGTTTGATGATTTTGTTGTTATTTTTTTCATTAGGGTGAAGCTTTTGCTCGGGAGCATGGCCTCATTTTCATGGAAACCTCTGCAAAGACTGCAGCAAATGTAGAAGAGGTGAGATGCTGATATTTGATTTTATTATTCGATCATAGTTTTCTAACCTGTCAGTGCACTTGCTTACCCCAATACAAAAGGTTTCTTTCCTCTCCGTTCATTTCAATCAAATCTGACCAGCAAAGTACTGGTATGGAATAGCAAGCCTCCCACTTTTCATGTAGCTTTTAGCTTTTGTGGAAGAAATTAATAAATGCCCATGATGAGGGCAGAGCTTGCTTTCCTTTCATGAGAATCATTCCCATGCAACTGAACAGTGATACAAAGAGATAAAAATAAAGATTCACCATGAGGGACATATTCATGATTTGTCCAGGAATATTGTATTAAAACTAGAAAGCAGATTTAAAAACATCTATGTATAGACTATTATGCATGTATTTTATGGGAAAGTAAATATGGATATTAATGTTTTTTTTTGCTTTTTTTTACATTTCTTTTGTACCTGTTAGGCTTTCATTAATACAGCCAAGGAAATCTACCAAAAAATCCAAGAGGGTGTTTTTGATATTAACAATGAGGTGAGACCTATTTTGTATGATGTTACCGGTATGTTGAACACTTAAATTGATTTATTTCTTGTTGAAGTTTATTTAAATGGTTTGTTACCCAGACTCCATTGCATTTACCATCATACCATCATACTGGTCACACGAATGTTGTACTTTCCTCGTAAGGCAGAAAAGATATTCACTCTGACATTGGCTTTTAATTCCTAGGCTAATGGAATCAAGATTGGCCCTCAACATTCACCATCTAACCCTTCAGTACCTCTGGGAGGTGGCCGAGCTCAAGATAGTGGAGGCTGTTGTTAAATCTTGAACACAGCAGGCTCTGAATACACTGTTCAGTTTATTTTCACCATGGATCTTAAAACATCAACCTTTGAATTGAATCTCTTGACACAATTTCAAAGAGACAAGGAAGCTTGATTGATAGTGCAACTGTAATGAAAGTTTAATAGAATGGAATGGTTTAAAACTGTTAAATTTTCTGTAAGGAAGGGGTGGAGTGTTGGAATGCTTTGTGAAGTCTGCCAGTAGAGCCTGCAATAATGCCATAAATTTCATTGCTAACTTCTTGGTTATTTCTGTTGTTAACACCAATTGCGTCTTAGAGGGAAGTTCTTCCTACACGTGAGGTTTTGGTTTCATCACATTCACTCCACACTTAGATCAAAACGTTTAGTCATTTTTAGGTAGATAATCACCCAGGGGAAGTAAAGCGATCAACAAGCAAAGTCTCTCAACTGATACTATGGCATTTTTAAGGAAATTAGTTAGGAGAATTTGTTTGTTGACATTGCTACCAAAATCCTTTTTTTACTGGTTTCAAACATTCCATTTTTTCCCGTCTATAAGAGGTCAGACCTTAAACTCATTACACTCTGTATGACACAGTATCAAGAAGCTAGAAATGAAACAACTTAAGAGGCTCTGCTGGTATAGATGTGGTTGGTTGTCAGTAATATTAATGATGAGAGATTTTTACAAAATGCACTGTTATTTTTTGAAATTTATTCCTTATTCCATGTAAGTTCGTTTCAAGCAGATTCACCCTGAACAGCAGTTTGCTTGAAGTAGTTTGTTTTCTACAAGACTGTTTTAGTCAGGTCTGGCAATGTGCCTTCTTTTTGAACTGACAAATACTTATTCAGTGTATTATACTGCTGTTCAGTTGTCTAAAAATACCACAACTAAAGTGACTTGAGAGTTGAGTCTGTAAAGTTAAATCAATGACTCCTGCAAGGGTGACAAAATATTTTATCTGAATTAATTCAAGGTTTATGCAATCAAAATACAATGTGGTGCATGTTTTTTCCTTGCCATCGCATTTAAGTTTACAGTACCTCCTGTTAATGAGCATGTAGTTCAAGTGTCCATAGAAAATATTAATGTGTGGCTGTATCCTGTCCAATAAAGAGTACCTATAACCAAGTTAAACTGTGTTGTTGATGGTTTTGAAACTTGTCTAGAAAACTTGTAGAGAAAAACAAGTACAGGACTGTTCCCTGAATAACACTACAATATAGAGCTGAAAAACAACAAGGCCTGGGTTTCTATAGTTCTTGCTTATTGCTCTTTGGTGGGCTTAGCTTATTATGAGGTAGGCTTATCATGGAACTTGAAATGTTAAAGTCACTGGGCTTTTTTCGGAAAGGATTTATGTCTGAAAGTGGTTTAGAAATAGAACAATACAAAAATAAGAACAAATGTGAACACTACAAATCAATCAGTTGTTTTATTGTAGGATTTTTTGATTTCACTGTAATGCCTTGATCGAAGATAGTGAGGACTATATTAAGAACACTACTGGAAACAGCAAGTAAGGCTTTCATCTGGAAAAGTAACGAGAACTGTGGAGACTGAAGAACGTTCCTGTCCAGGAAATTAAACAGGGTTCTATTGGGTGGCCCCTGGGGGAGGGGGGGTACTCCCAGAAAAGTTGGGTAGGGGTATGCAGCCCACTTCCCAAAACCCATACCCTATTTATGACCTGGCCCAAAATTCGATACCCTATTTATGACCTTTGTAGCTGGCACAGTTGCCCTAAACATAAGTTATGAAGTGCTTTTGTCAATGGTCTCATTGACAATGATGAAAAAGGAGCTTTTTCCAAGAAACATACCCAATTCAAGACTAGAGTGCTAAAACCATATCCTATTTAACACCAAAATGGCTAAAATCGATACCCTATTTATGACCAAAATGGCTGAAAAACCCTACCCTTTGGGGCCACACATACCTGTATAGCCCATATAAGGAAGTACCCCCCCGGGGGGGTGGCCATTTAGACGATCTGTCTCGGTCACGGCTGACCAACCTTGAAATCTTTAGCCTAAAATCTTCAAGTTTGTGAGTTATTAATCTGTTTTTATTATTATCGTTATAATCATCATCATCATCATCATTATGGTTAACATCATCATTATCGTCGTCATTATTATCATCATTATTATTACTATACATGTATTATATCATATATCATATTATACAAAAATAAGAATAACGACCACACTTAATAAACAACAACAACTAAACAAATATTTCAAAGCTTTATAAACCATTTTAAGCAACCAGGTCACCTAGGTAAACTGTTTGCTTTGATCTGTTGATCTTTAATCAAGAAAGTAACTTGGGAGAACTTTGGTAAGTGTCTGGAGTGAAAGCAGATGTAACTGTGCGAGTTTTGCAACTTGAATCATCACCTATCGTTTGATGAAGGTCTGGATGGAGTTTTATAACTGACCAAGACTGAGAATTAGTCAAAATTTTATTTTGCGATAGCTGCAGAAATTCTCGAGCGCTCATCGGCGAATTTTCATTGTCGATAAGCGGACAGACACATGAATTTATAATTTATGCGATTCGTCAACGAACAAAAGCGGACAATTTGACAATTTGTAACTGTAAAAAACAAATTGACGTCAATTGTTCATGCGTCTGTCCTGTTGTTGACAATGAATTTTCTCATATATCTTTGACGATGTTACGACGAAATTCATGATTGATAACAGGGGGACAGACGCATGAAAAAATGACGTAGTATTTTCATCTGTTTTTTGTAAAATTTTCTGATGGCCAAGAAATACGCTGAAATTTTGACTGATAGCTGAAAATTCGCCGAAAAATAAACATACATACTACCGCGAGATGCATTGATCCAGGGCATTGATCTGTTAACAAAGAATACATTAAATACATTAGTCTAATAATAATTAAATTATTATTTATAAGTTTTGACGCGGTTACTCAGCACACGCATTTCTGAATCATCATGGCGGACAAAATTACAATATAGACGTTTGGTAGCTGAGATCATCAATTACAACCCTTGAGAGCGACATCAAAATAATGAAACTTCGATTGTCGCCGAGGGCATACGCCAAGATCCTCTTGCACACCTCGAAATACCCTCACAAAGCTGTGAATGGGGTTCTTTTGGGTGACGAAAACCTTCAAGATGGTGAAATTTATGTCCTAGATGCGATTCCTTTGTTTCATATTTGTCTTGGTTTGGCACCGATGCTGGAAGTTGCCCTGGCAAGAGTAAGAAAAACTTTTATTTACTTTATTGATTCGCTGTTTGACCAGTTCATTGAATAATTCGCTCCTAAAATGTTCGTTTTGTCGACTTGTCAGAGAGGTGTCACTCAAAAGCCATATATGTACATTACTTTAAATTTTTAAATTAGCTTGGTTTAGTTTTAGACTTAAGTTTGGTGGCGATTGAGATAGGAAGAAGAAATATCTAATTCCACGCTTGACGATCTTCGATGGGTGGTGCTTACAGATGCGTGCTAAGAAATCGAATTCGCTAATAGCAATCTGTTAAAGCTTATACTCTTGGGTGGAGAGACGCAAAATAAAGTGTGTTGGTCAGAACAGATCACACTGAATCAGGTTATGCTAGGGTTGCACCCTGATCTCCTTATCTGTAGCGTACTGTACTCAATTCACAATTGCATGACTGGCCCTTTCTTCATAGCTATGGACAGCCACAGTTTCGTATCCATGTTTTGGCAAAAATACCTCAGGAAAAAAAAAAAAACTGATCGATACTTGAGAATTTGTAAATTTGCAGAGCTGTCATGAAGGCCATATCCCATAACACATGTTAAGGTTGAGTATATTTGATAGGTCCTTGATGTCACAAGAGAAATTGCCTTTTGTTGATATAATTCACCCACAAAGTGACAACTGTGTTACGGGTGTGAGGGTCAAGGCCACAGGTGACTCAGAACTTAATGACAGCCTTGATTTGTGTTATGAATTATTGATTACATTGTAAAGCACCATTAGACAGTGTACTTTGATTTAGTTTGGTACTATGTTAGTTTGTCACTTTATTGTTTTATTGCCTGGATGCTTAGTTTAAATATACATGTACTGGCATGGCATAAAATGCTGGTTATAAGTCCCCTGCCCAGCTTATAAGCGTCCCCCCTGACTTCAATTGTACTAAAAAAATTCTGGTTATAAGCCCACCCCTCCCCTCACTAGCATATGGTGTTTGAAGACTGCAGACTGTGGACTACATTCATCATTTAGGCTTAATAGTACTCTGGTTAGCCTAAATATCACTCAAGTTTGCCTGAATAGCACTCAGGTTAGTCCATTTGTGGTTAGCCACAAGGGTTAGTGGAGCCAGGCAGCCAATAAGTTATTATATTGAATATAATAAACTGAAATAAAGGTCAGTTGACTAAATTACACACAATGAACCTGTAGTTAAGGTTAAAAACACAAAACACCTACTCAACACACACTTAGACCTTGCACAACACTTGAACAGTACTCACACAGTACAGCACTCACACCACTCCCAATATAAGTTCCCTCAGTAATGAGCAAACCTAATTTTTACGATAAGTGCAGAAATTCTTGCGTGGTCATTGGCTAATTTTTATCGTCAATAAGCGGACAGACACCTGAATTTATAATTTATGCGATGCGTCAGTGAGCAAGAGCGGACAATTTGACAATTTGTTATCCTAAAAAACAAATTGACGTCAGTTTTTCATGCATCTGTCCTGTTGTTGACAATGTCAGAATTTCGTCATAACTTTGTCAAAGTAGTCTGCGGTCCACTCAGCTATCGCCTCGTGGATCCACAGCTACTTTGATAATGTTATGACGAAATTCATGATCAATAACAGGACAGAGGCATGAAAAACTGATGTCAATTTGTTAAATCGTGTACAACATAATTTGAATTACGCCAACCCTTATAACCCAGATTTAAGGGTAATCTATACCTAGCCGATAGTTTATAGAACCAAACATTTTATGGTATATATATCCAGTTGCAAGTTATTTGGATTGTCACGGATCTGGTGAGCTTGCCTACTAGCTGTTAATCCAGTAATTCTGAGTTTACATCAGAAGCAGTGCACTTTGAAAAAAAATAATGCCAGATGTATTAATGGTGCATCATTTCTGTAGGTTGACATTCATTGTAAAGAGAGTGGCTTACAGATAGTTGGTTATTATCAAGCTAATGAACATATCAATGACAATAGGTAAGTTTTGATGTAACATGTAGAAAAGATATCTGTGTTTCTGTGGAATGTATATTGCACGGCTGTTTGGAATTCTCACACAGTCTTTCCCCACTTTTGATTAACTCTGTCTTTTTGCTCTTGTTTACAGTCCTAATGCAATATGCTACAAGATTGGTGAAAAAATATGTGACCAATTTAACAATGGTTTTATCTTAATGGTAAGTGAATACATCTTTGAGTTAAAAGACACTGACATTAATTTTAGGTTTATGCTCACGACTATGCAATGTAGTTGACATGTCTTTGCGACAAGCATTGACAAGTTGATCTTTCTGTGTTCTTTCTGGACAGGTTGATAATACAAAACTCTCTGTACCATGTGAAGAAATAGCTTGCAAGGTAAATAGTGTCGTGTATGTCCAGGTTCAAAAGTTATTGAATTTAATAGACCGACAAATGGAACAGCAATTACAGCCCCCCAATCCTCCCAACTCACCCCCAGTGTTATGTCCATCATATCTGATTCTCTTTAACAAAAAACCCTAACATTGCTCGTCCCATAAGGACTATGCCCAAAACATTTGGACTTTGTTTTGTTATATTTTGTGTGGATTACAGTGTACACTATACCCTAGTACTGAAATATTTACCTTTTCATGTGCTCACTTACCCATGTTAAAATTCTTAAATACCATGTACATTGTTCCATTTCAGGTTCTAATGTTTTCTGTTGCTATTTTCTTGAAATGTATAAGTTACTGTATAATTATAATTATATACATTTATACATGACCCATAGTGAAGTGCTGATCAAATCAATTGTTTTGCCAGCCACTGGACTGCTTTTAAATCCTCACTTGATTTTAACTCTGCAATATCCATCACACTGCGATTGACTGTAATAAGACTATTAACGCCCAAGTCGCTAGTGGAGGGAAGGTGCCTACGAAACCCGGGGGCTGCAACCGCAGTCACATCCCCAAGGCGCTAGAACACCCGACTGGCCTGACCAACCCGCAACCAAGCCACGAGCTCCCCGCGCCAGGCCCCTTACAGCCACCCCTCACACTCAAGCCAGATGGCTCAGTGGAAAGAAAAAAAAA